AAGCTTAATTTTAGCTTTCTTAAGAATAAATGAATTTTAAATTTGCAATCCAAAGCCCTTAACAAATTTCCGTATTTTGATCAGATCCTTCAATATTCGGTTTTAAATTATAAAAATATGTATAAGTTTGGTGCAATATGTGCTTCAGGACAATTTTTTCATTAATTTAATCATATTTGATTACAATATAAAAATATGCAATAAATAAAGTTTACCAGAATGATCCAAATTTGAATTAATTTAGTTGTCAAACCATTTCAGTTATTGCTGTATTGTTTTTTTTTTTATTTGTCAAATCTATTTTAAGAATTCATACGTGTGATGTTTTGTTTGAATTTTCATTGTTTTTTTACGCATACTGTCGATATTGTTATATTATAAAATTCATTTGAAATACAGGAAGCAATGATAATAACTGGCACTGCAACAAAAAGGCTTATGTGAAGAATTTTTCATCCATACATTCGGCTGATAAACTTGATTCAATAAAATACATATGTATATTGTTTATTCTAAATTTTAAAACTTGTTTTTGCTGAAACTGCGAGAAAACTTGAAAATGTTTTCTCTCAACTTGAAATGATTTTTAATTATTAAAAGGAAATAAAGTGATAAACCTAAATAGTATACCAATTTTAAAAACAATAAGAAACCTTCATGGAACTTAATTAGTAAAACTAAGAATTTGTCAAAAAGCAAAATATTAATAAATAAAATTGAAAATTTCCAGAATGTTATAATCAACAGTGAACTACATAAATATTTTTTTTCATTTTCAAATTCAAGATTGTCATACTTTTGTTGCTTATACACACAAGCGAATTTTATTGTTATTTTTCCTATTATGGGCAAAGAGTACTTAAAACTGACAAAAATTGCATTTTTCCTTATAATAGTTTATTATAAAACAAAACAAAAACAAAAAAAGCAAAATATGCGAATTGTCATGATGATATAGCCTAGAGAGCAAAATTAAGTTATTAAGTACTCAAAATTTTGCGTTCTATTCCACTACTTACTTTGACCTCGAGTTGATTTAGGATATTTTGCTGATTCTTTTTTGACGTAAGCTCAGAAATTTTCTATTAGATTTACGTTAGAACTTTTTGACAATCACTTCATAGTTGAAAAAGACTAGGTTTGCAACAATGATTCGACGAGTTTCCTAGAGTGTTTTGGGTTATTATCATGCTAAAAAATGACTTCTGTTGGGTTTCTCAACATCGCATCTATTGCCACCAGTCATTCTTTCTGTATTTTTGCTAAATAGCATTCTTTACGAATGATTCCTTCCATGAAGTGGAGAAAATACTCAAACCAAAAGTGATTTAACGTATCTACATTTTGACAATTTTTTCTAATGTTGTAAATAATAGTTTTAAAAACGCACAAGCATGTTTATTATTCAGTGTATTGAGTTGATATGAAATATTTTGAAAAGAGGCGCCAAAATGAAAATTCGTATCTGTTCTCAAAAAGTCTGTGAAATAGTCTGTGTGATCCAAATTACAAGTAAAACGCACATTTTATAAACTTTTATGATCCAGATCATCAATTTTTATTTTGCTGATAGTTTTTTAATATTGGACAGTATCTTATTAATATTGGACCGTTGTTTTTATACTTTTTGAAATTTTAAGCATAATTCCGCGTTTGTGAAGACAGGCTCATTATTAAATATAACTTGGAAACCACAGAGTAAGGGCTTTCTCATGAATATCTACATTAGTAGCAATTCTGATGTCGGAATCAGATGACTTTAAAGTTCGAAAAACTTGATATTTTTACTTTTCACTTTTAAAGAACGTTAATTTTCTAGATCTAGTAACATTGGAGCTCTCTCCAATTTTAGCACATTTGGCCACCTTGACAATTGGGCTTCAATTTGGTATATGAATCATCATGCAACCTGCGATCTGTATATCTACTCCTCTACTACCATAAATAGTAACTGTAAAACTATATAAAGGTTATCCCTGTGACAAAGTTTATCTAATAAAAATTTTTATTTTAAAAAGAAAAATCATCAATAAATTATGGTGTATATAAAGAATAGCTCAATTTACAAGACATAGTATCGTATATTTTACAAAATTACCTTGTATATTATATACATACATTTGTAGTACATAACAACTCAAAATGTTCTAGAAATATTATTAATTTCAAGGTCAAAATTAAACATCAATTTTATTCATATTTTTAAGTGAAAGCAAATTCTTCTTCTTATTTTAACAATAAAATTTGTTATTTATTATATTTATTAACTCATCATAAACATCACCATTCTCTTTAATATTATTAGTAGTATTAAGAAAGCACATAATTACGTACACAATTAAATACGATGCCACTCAACTCACCTTTCTCAATTTAAAAGAATAATTTTTTTAATAAATACTTACATACGAGTATTAAAAAAATTTTATGAATTTTCATCTTTATAATATTTTAATTTAAAGGTCAACAGTAGAAAATTTATAATTCCTATACAGTTCATATTTCCTTCTTTTTATAAATTAATTATGAATTTTCAGCAAACATTCAAAATCAAAATAATATTTCCTAATAATTAAATGAATCATTAATATTATTAAATTTTTTCAATATAATATGCATACGCTATATTATATAAAACTTATTACATATAACTATGTACGTACATGCTGATATACATGTGCATATACATACATATAAAGTGACTGATATACTTCAATGAAAGGCAAAGGTTAATTTCGAAAAAAAAAAACAAAAAATTATTGATTTCAACATAGAAATTTTTTTCTTTAATGTTAAGGTCACTACCGCAATCTGACCACCATATTACTATCCATTATATCACTAATATTATTTCACCTGCGTTAATATTTTTACTTCTTATAAAAATAAAATAAAATTTTGAAAAAAAAAAAACTAGAATTTAAAATTATGTAGAAGATTTACTTGTTCGACTTGTATTATGTAGTACGTATACTCAGTGAATTCAGGAACAAATTTTTAATTTTTAATAATTTAAAAGTTTAGCTAAAGTTAACCAACACACATACTCTGTTAAATTATAAAGTATATAATCTAAATTTATTAAAAGTTGAATTTTTCAAAAATTCAATTTGAAAATATTAATTTTCAATAATTTTTGTTTTTTTTTTTTGTCTACCCTTGGAATATTTTACAATATGAACTAAAAATTTCATATAACATAATGTATAACATAATGTGTGTGCCGTAAGAGTTATGTACATATATATTTTTGAAATAAAAAATATTTCAGGTTTGACCTTATAATTGAGTTAAGAAAGTTTTTTTAGTAATTTTTCAAATTATTGTCGATTACTAAAAAATATTATAACGACAAATTCTTTAATTTTTTAATAGTGTTTTAATTATAGTTATTAATTTTAGGTATCTGCATAGCGAATTATATATATAGACGAGCTACTTTAACTATAAGAATTTTAAAAGAAAAAAATATTGCAATTTAATGATTTTTCAGTACCATATTAAAGAATAGAAACTGCCAGAACAAAATAATTTAAAAAGAAAAAAAAAAGAAAACTACGGAAGAAATTTTATAGAAACAGCGAAAGAAAATTGTCCAACAAAAACAAAATTAACGCAGATTTTAATAATTATTATTGAATTTATTCGGAATAGTAACACAAATATGTATTTGTGTATTAAAATTCAGGAAAGAATTTTATGAGAAAATCTCTAAATACAACATAAGCCCAGAAATTATTTTGTAAACTTAGTTTGAACTCGTTTATATCTTCGTTTATATTTTCTTTAATTAATTTACCCACATTCCCAATAAGAATTAAGTAAATTGATTTTTGAACTGTGAATTGCAAGAAAAAACTTTTCATTAAGAGTTAAAAGAGGTGAAAATAAATCAAAAATTATTTTTAAAATCATCGATTCTGGGTTCAGTTCTCTTTAATAATAATTTTATCTAATGAAACTTTATAATTTTTCAAAATTATTTTTCCATTCTGAAATTTAAATCATAATAAAGCATAAATTATTTCTTTTACATTTTTTTTTTTTTTTCAAATTTTTATTCAATTTATTTTTCCATTTTTTTTATTTAATATTATTTTTTTTTTTTTTTTGTTTTTTAAATACAATATTTTATAATAATAATTATTTTAGTATATAATATAGTCTTACATAATTATTAACACCAATTTATAAAACAAATTAATCTAATAAAAAAAAAAAAATTATAAACAATACTGCAGAGAAAATTTTTATCTTAAATTTAAAAATTCTTTGCAGAAAAAAAAAAAAATATTTCCAATTTTTATTTCAAATTCTCTTTTTTATTTATTTATTTATTTAATTTATTAAATTAATTTTTTTTTTTTTTGTTTTTTTTTTCTTTCTTTGAGATATAAAAGTTTTATTAATTATTTGGTTCTTATGTAATTAAGTATTATGTCATTTTTAGAAGTAGAAAGGTATTTTAACCCAATTTTACCACATGAAAATTTGATAAAATTATAATTAAATATTTTAATTCTATGCTAAAGTATGCTTTGTATTCAGAAATATACATTATTTACATATACATATATTACATATTATACTATATATATATACATGTATCTTATGTATAAGAATATTAAATATAATTTAAATTGAGAAATTTCCTAATTTTTTTTTTATATTTTTTTTTTTAAATTAATCTTAAAACAAATTTTAATGCTTTTGTTTTTTGCAATTTTTCGTTTAGTTTAAAATACATCACTTTCAAATAATATAACAATTTAATTAATTTAAATATAAATTTATAACTAAATTCTTTTACAGGAAATTTTTTTAAAAATTTCTTTTAATTTTTTTTTGGGTTTTTTTTTCTTTGATTTTTAAAAATTGAAGTAACCAAATGTATTTCATTTACATTTTGTATCATTTCAGCCCTAGAACTCTTACATAATCAAAAAGTAATCAAAAAAAAAAATTTCAATTCAATGCAAAATCTAAACACTGAATTAGTTTTGAATTCAAGGAATATTTTAATATTGACAACTTTTTGATTACATAAGATTTATCATGCTTAAATTTTTAATTGGGAAATCAAATAATTATAAATCCAATTGTACTTTAAAATAATTTTTAAAAACAAAAATATTCTATATCTTTATACTGTGTATATGCAGAGAATCAAAATATCTTTAAACAAGCTAATACATTTCTAATTTGCTCTATACAAATTTACTATTTCTAATAATGCACATTTTATTTTGATATAATATAAAAAAATTTAACATAAATGTCAATAATAATGTAGAATAGAAAAATTTTGTAAAATTTTTAGTTTTGTTTCCCATTTTCATCTATATAGGTTCCCATTAATAAAATTCTTGTGCATGACTAGGTCAACCCAAAACCAAATTGAATCGCACTTCAATATATTGTAGAAATACACATGATGTCATACAGATTTGTAATTTTGTATTCCAATTATTGAAATTTTAAAGTAAAAAAATAATTCTTTAAATATATAAGAATATATATATATAAATAATTAAAATTGAATTTATTTACAAAATTGTGATTAATTTCTCTTTAATTCTATATAAAATTTATTTGTATATATATATATATATATATATGTGATGTATATTTTAAATATTTAATTAAAAAAATAATAAATATTTCAAATAAGTACCACGTTTAAATAGGGATGCGTGCAGAAAATTTCTGCAAATTCAACAAAATATTAAAATTTTTTTTTTTTTTTAAATTTAAATTAATATTTTGTTATTGCTCTTTCCTTTTACTTTTCTAAATAAATTAAACTAATTTTAAAATGTTTCTTTGTTTTTTTTTTTACAATTTTCATTTAAGGATTTAGAAATTATTTGCGAGAATATAAAAAAAAAATAATTACCTTTGGATTACTTTTTATATGCCGTTCAATTTAGTATTTCTATTATTGTTTTTTCTATCTCTTAAATTGATTCTCGAAATATAATAATAATATGAGTACAGTTTTAATTAATCTAGTAATATTTTTGTCTTTTTTGTTTTTTGTTTAATTTCATAATAATTTGGTAAATATAGTTAATATACATTAAAGATATATTTTATGTATAAGCTTTATATTAATTAATTGTACACATTTAAAGCCTGTTTACCATTTAGACTATTAAAATTCCTTACGAATTTACTGTCACTTAAATATTTATTATTTAAATTATTATTATTATTTAAATCATCAATTTTTGATGATAATTTTTCAATTTCTACATTACTGCCACCATTTGCTTGAATTTTATTTATTTCATTTTTATCAACAATATATTTTCGTAATGTTTCAGTTGATGGACCATTGGTTGTTTCTTGTTCATTGAGTTTTGTTGATTTTATTGTATTGCTGGTATTTTCAATATTATTATTAATTTCATTACCATATGCATGATGTGTTCCATCACCAGTACGATTAATTCTTGATTTTAACATTTCATTTGTAACTGTCTTACGATCATATACGTAACCACGTTCAGCAAACCAATCAATAACTGATGTTGTTACATTATATGGCATATTTAATTCAGCAGCTCTATAATCCCATGGGAAAGTATGATGATAGTTATGCCATCCTTCACCACCAGCAACCATTGCTACGTATTTTGTTTCGACAGGGAGCATATTTCTATTTAAAAATAATATAAAAAATATGTTAGAAAAACTATATGATAATATGGTAATTTATTAAATTGTATAAAAATTTCACAATTAAATAATTTTTTTAATTTTATTTCCCACCAATTATACATATAGTAAGTATGTATTAGGCAATCAAATTTCGGGGAAAATGGATTTTTTTTCGAATACTGCAAAGTGTTATGTGTGCAATCATAATATTTATGTTCTATATTACATATTATATGTACTTATAATATTATGAATGTTGTATTTGTATTGTTATATACTTATAATATATATGTATGGTTTTAATATTATAAATAAATAACTTGTCCAAATGCATCTCACTTATTTATTAATTATATTTACAATATATGAATGTGAATGTTTTGTACTTACTCAATATTTGAATTTAACATATCAATTGTATCGATTATAACATTATAATAAATAAATCGATTTGGCAAATTTTCGAATGAAGCGAAAAAATATTAATTTAATTTAATCTAGTTTTGCTACATATTCTACAAACATGTGTATATATATATATGTTAAAGTCCTGGTTATAAAACTTTCCGATTTTTCCTGTTTCTGATCAAATTTAAAGAATAAAATGTTGAAAATAATATCATACAAATAATATTATTTTATACTAGAACAATATAGTTTCGACTAGTAAAAAGTATTGTTCGCCCCTCTATTTTCGTAATTTTCTTAACTCAGAATATTTTGCTGTAGATTTTCAATATTTCCAATATTTTATTTGTTGCGTTTAACCATAATTTTCAAGTACACTGTTTTGACTGAATGTTATTTTTTTTATGGATATTATATAATGATATAAAAAGCTGGAAAAAAAATCCATAACATCTCTGTCTTGAAAACCAATTTATCCGTTAATTTTGCTTTCATTAAGCAATATGATTAAATTAAAATATTGCTAAAATATTACTTTTTTGCCTTGTTAATTATCAAATATTAAGATATAGTAAAATATTGTAAAATAAATTTTAAATTCCATATATATCATGATTAATTTTATTTTGAAACCTATATTTAACCCATATAATCATACAAAGTTAATACTTACTTGTCATATGGTTTATTACCCCAAATATGAGCTACACTATTGACAGACCATGTGAAATTTAATTGAATAATAGTACGGGCCAAATATTGTGTTAAAAATGATACAACTGGATGTTCACCCCAACAGAAAATTGGAATTGCAGTTGGGATAAGAAGTACAAAAATGGTGTACAATGTTTTGTAATATCTGTAAATAAAAAATAAAAAAAAAATGTTAAAATCAATTCATTTATTGCTATAAATTTTGCTGACACATAATTTCAAAATTATTTTTCTATACTTCTAACATTATTATAAACTCACGTATGACATAATTAGAGTAAACATACTTTGACTTCACTCTCCTATCATGGTTAAATATCAAAAATTTAATTACAATAATAATTTTCAATATCAAGCATTTTATGTCATTTCAAAAAATTCAAAGCAAACAAAAATTCCGTAAAAAATCTTCTATTTGTCAGTTAAGTTTTTGACCCTAAAAGTCAATAATAATTTACCTATCATATATAATTTTTTTTTTTATTATTTTATAATATATAGACACTAAAAATGTTTATTATAAAACAGTACTATTCATAAATTAAAGGTTAAGGTTAGACTTTTTAACCGTCAATATTAATAAAATAAATAATTTCGAAATATTTTTTTAAAAAAAAAATATTCCAAATAATTTCCGTATTAATTGCATATACATACATACATATAAAAATTTTTTTTTACTTGTATATTTTTGAATATAAAATATAAATATGCATGTGTATGTGCAACAATCGAGATCTATTTGATCATTTATAAATTTTTACATAATAAATTATCAATGGAAAGAAATAATAACCAGTTAAAAAATAATATACGAATAAAAATTATTAGAAATACCAATATCGGAAGATGATTATAAATATTAAAGTTAAAAAAAAAAAATATCTAAAGAAACCTGAAAATAATTTCTATAATTCACCTTGAATTTTCAAAAGCTCTTTTGCATATGTTTAAAATATATTGAGGAAAAAAAAAACAGAAATATTTTTTTCTTCTTCTACAACTTAATCTTATGTTAAACATGTGTGTGATGCCCCATTACCTCTCCTTTATAACAACATTAAAAAGATCTTTTAGTATTATTATTTTTTTTTTTTGCCAAGCATCACATGTAATCATTTCATGGTCAAGATCAAAATACTAATAAAAAAAAAAGTTTTAATTTCTGCTTTTTATTGTTATTGTATTATCATTTTAACTGTTAATAAAACATAACCTCAAATTATTTTAATTTTCTATTTTGTTTCTGTTTTTTTTCCTCTTCTCTTTATTTATTTGACATAGATTCAAATGAATAAAAATTAAGGTACCAAAAATAAATTTTTAGAAAAAAAAAATTATTGATTTAAAAATTCTTCAAAACTTTTTACATATTTTTTACAATTTTTAATGGTAAAACTTAATTTTATAATGTTATATACGAACGCCATTTAAATTTGAAGATTTTTTATGAAAGTAGGACAAGGACCAATTCCTTAATAAAATTCTTATATATATTTTTTATTTACAGTCGACCTTTTTCAATACTAACCACAAATACTTATTTTATTAGAAAAACACTTAAAAATTAAAATGTAGCAATTGAAAAATTTAATTGAAAAAAAAAAATTTATGTTTGTAATTGTACTCATTGTATCAAATTGAACACTTTTATACTGTGTTCAATGCTACACTGTGTTTCTAAGCTATATTAAAGAGTTTTAATAACAAATATATTGTGATAATTAAAATAAAATATTTAGAAATTCAAAAGGATTCTAGAATTATTCTAAAAATATTCTAAACAAACACATACACTTTTTGATCACAAACACATCAATTAAGCGCATGTTTAAAAACAACATCATTTTATATCCGTATAATGCTTTTTTGATTTTTTTATATAAAAATTATGATAATATAGTATATAACAATATTGAAATTCGAGATATTTAAAGACACAAATATATAACAAAAAAATTAATAAAAAGTATGGATAAACATCAAAATTTATAAATGTATAATAGTTATATCTAAATAAATCTTTTATATTGTATATAAATATATTTGAAATTATTAAATGGAAAAAGGAAACACACTATATAAATTTTGAATCGAATAAATTTAAATAAAATTTATATAAAAAATATTAAAGAAAAAAAAATTTAGCCGTTTTACTAATTAATTAATAGTCGAAAATTATGAAATGAACTCGTTTTTTATTCCAGTTAAATAACTTTCATTTTCAGATTATCAATGACGTCAACCATAATTACATAACAGTTGAAGAAGAAAAAAAGAATTTCTTCTGACCAAATCCAAAAATTTATGATATATTTTTTTTTTTTTTTAGAATTAATGTATAAAGCTATTTAATGTTTCATTAATATTTTAATATTAATAATTTATTTTTTTCCTATTTATATAGTTGTTCTTGTTTTTCTATCGTTAAGAAACTTGAGTTCAGAATAAGAAAAAATAAAATGGATCGCAGTAAAAATAAAATAAATTTTTTTTTCATAATGATTATTCATAAAATCAATTCCGTTTATATGTAAATTTTAATTTCTTAAAAAATTTGTTTTTGTTTCCAAACTTTAAATATTGTGTATTTTTACTTTAGTAAAGTAATATACAGTAAACTCCATTTTGATTTGATTTTCTTTAAATGAATTTGAACATTGGTTCAGTTAATATAACAATAATCAGAAAAATCAAAGGAATAAATAAAGTCTAAATTATGATTTTAACTAATGTTCGATTTATTAAGACTATACTGTATTAAAGTGTTATCGGAGTGAAATAAATAGTTATTAAAACTTTTAAAAAGATATGATAATTATGTGCTGCTATTTTTCGATATTAAAGCAAATTTTTTTATTGTAGATTATATTGAAAATTAAAATAATATTATTTTTAAAGTTTTAGAGTTCTAAACAATTTAAATTTAAACAAAAGAAACTTACCTTTTTTGAAACATTATCCAGTAATCAGCTTCTAAATCAGACATATCAATTTTTTTACCATATTCTATAACCTGAGAAAGAAAGTTTTACAATTGAAATAAAAGTTTATTTATAAATATATAGAAAAAAATTTATTACCTTTGGATGTTTTTTGGACATTAACCAACCAATATGTGAAAAGAAGAAACCACGATTTGCATTATGTGGATCAGCATCAGTATCAGAATATTTATGATGTTGTCTATGATCACGTACCCAAACATATAAGCAATTTTGTCCAGCCATTGTATGCAATAGTAATAATAAAAGTCTTAGTCCTGGTGTGGCTTTATATGCTCTATGTGAAAATAATCTATGAGCACCAGCGGTAACACCCATACCACTCCAGAAAAGTAAAAATACAGCTATAATAAAATTAATAATAAAATTAATCAATATATTATTATAATATTTTTATCTATTTATATTAAATTTGTAGCGATATACTTACTAAATAAAAATGTTTGAATTTTTGCATAACCAAATATCAATAATCCAAATCCAACAGCACCAAATACATGTAAAATAAGGAAGCCAATTGCATTAAACCAAACGATTTCACGTTTAAATGAATAATCTGTTCCTATTTGTTCCAATGTTGCTGTGCTAGATACCTGTCTAATAATTTCAGCTTCTATTTCTTTATCAGTTTTAATTTCGCTAATATTATTAGTATTATTGCTATTTGTTATATCTGATTTTTTTAATTCATATTCTGATAAAACTTCTGTCTCATTATTGTTATTATTATTATTATTATTGTGATTATTACTCATTTTACTTTTCTTTGATTTTGTGTCTTCATATGAAGATTCAGTGTGACGATGTACTAAAAGTGTTTCGCTTTCGGCAACCATTTTTATTTTATTTTTGTAATATTTTTTTTTTTTCAAAAATTAAAGATTTTCTTTTATAGAAAATTTATAATCTGAAAAGAAATATTAAAAATTTTTAAGTTTTTATTGTTTATTTATAAAATTTTTTCTACTTTACAACTTAGCTTTTAGAAAAATAATTAAAAGCAAACTTAAAAAATAGTAATTAAAATTTGACTAAAATTATAGTCGCTTCTTACAAGACATTTTTTGGCAACATCCACAAATGCAAATAGGAATAAAGTTGATTTTGAAAATCAACTAAAATTTTTTGAAAATGGGAATAACTTTTTTCATTCGTGTGAAAAAAAGGTGATTGAATTGTCGGATAATGTGAAATATTTAAGAATGTGAGTGAGTGCATGCTAGTTTTACTCAATCTGTTGTATAAGGTGACGCATTTGGCATATTTGTGACGTTTGATTTGACGTACATTTTAAGATTATTTTATTATTAATTGAAAAAGAATGTCTTATATGTATGTATGTTTTTAGAAAAGTGACAAATTTAATTAATTAAAATAAAATGTGAAAATTGTAATTTTGACATTGAAAAAATATGTTAATAAATGGCAACCATATGTGTATCACGCAAATTAAGTTTAGTATAACTTGTAACCTCAGACTTTAATGCAATTAATGTTATTATTATAATAAATTAATTAATAAATTAAATAACTTTGTTTTTGCTTGTCAATAATTGACAAAAATTCAATATTTTGATACTTAATAGTTATTGCGTTTTAAAAGAAAAATTCATAGTTGCGATCAGTATTATTAAATGTTTGACAACTTAATTTTGACAAATGAGATTGAAAGTTTTCCAAATTTAATATAAAAGACCTTCATTCTTAAATGAAAAATTGCTTAAGTCTATAAGAATTCGGTACAATATTTTTTGCTCTTTTATGCTATCACTGTAGATTGTTATGTAAAGACATTCCTTCAAATAAGAGGTTTCATTCTTATTTTGTTAATTGCACTTAGATTACTCATTTAAATAACACAGAATATATTTTAAATATTTGAAATAATTTAAAGTTTAATAAGAACTTATGTATTTAGATAGATTATGTTGAAATAACATCTAAGAAATGTATTTCGTATGTACTTTTTAAGGTTAATTTGAATGATAATATTTGCATACTTAATAACATTTTTGCTAAATTTTCTGTTATATGTAGAAACTTTGTAAATATTGCAAATATTTGTAAATATATAATTTTGCAAATTTTAACTATTGCAATATTCAAATAGAATGCACCATTTAAGAATGCTATATACATATTACATATGTATAAACATAATATTGGCTTGGTACTAACAGATTCAATATACAAGTTTCTTGGCAGTAAACAAAAGCTTTACTTTATATAAGTATGTATGTGGCTACATAAACGTTTTTCTGAAATAATATATCCAAAAAGATTTTAACTGCGTTAAAAATAATAACACATCAATTTTGAAAGAATTGGAGGTAAAATCGTTTACATCGCAATTTTTTGTAATTATTTTTTAAACTGTTTCTTCTGTCTTGCTTTGAAGTACCTCAACATAAAAAGCTAAATATTTTATATATAGAAAAAAGTAAATATATACACATAGTGTGTACATATGTTTAAAAAATGTTTGATCTTCTAATGAGGCGGAAAATATTGTTTGTTTTTCACAAATATTTATTGTAACACTTATAAAGGCTTGGGATAATGAATTTAAAATATGAAAATGTAGCTAAGTTTTTCGTTTTGTTACAAAAAGAAAGGTAAATATTAATCTATTAAAGAACTTTTAAGAAAATATAAAATTTTAGTTTTTGTTGTTAAAAAACATTATGTTGGTTAGTTAAATATTTGGATAAAGCACATATACATGTGCCGAAATAACTATATTCTTCTATGAATATGATTACTTTAACACTATACAGTGAAAATTTACATATTCATTGATCACCAATGGTTGTAATAATTTAAGGTAATAATATTAATTTTGATGAAGAATAGAAAATAACTAAAATTATATTTGTAGGCTTTCAGAACTTTTAAAGAACTCGAAATATATATGATCGTTACAGTATTATTATGACTTGTAGTACATATGTAATGATTTTGACAATGAGTTAAAAATTTTGAAAAATATATTATTAATGGGTTTGTAAATGGACATTTTTAGTCAATACCTTCTTGGATATTTATATATGTATAACTATCACAGAGTTACAGTGCCGTTCATATCTGATCGAATTACGTAGTTTCAATATATATTAAAAAACATGGTTTTAATGGCAGATAAAAGTAAGCAAGAGAGAAGAATAAATTCTTTACTAAATTATATGATAAATTAAATCAGGTTAATAATAATTTTGAAAATCTGCAATTTGTAAAATCCGGATATAAGATTGGCAATATAGGAGTAAAAAAAAATCAATAAATAACCTTGAAAACTTAAATCAATAGAAAATTTACTGTGTTTATGTACATAGGTATACGAGTATATGTATATAATTGAAAGAGCAAATCAAATAATAAACTTGATTAGCTTTTAAAATATAGGAAGAAATTTTCGGCACGTACTACATATTTTCCACTTATATAAATGTAGAAATATGCACATATGATCTATTGTGAATAAAAAATATTGTATATACTATAATCTATGATTTGCAATATTTTTTTTCAATAGCATTGATTGATGATGGTGAATAAAAAAATATTAACATGATATTGACCCTATATTGTACTTAATTCGACAAGCAATTATTATAAAAGCATTATAACTTTCTAGCTTTAACATTGTTTTTTATGTATAAGTAAGTACACTAAAAATTCAATTTAATAAAACAATAATAACAAGAAAAAGCTTTATGAGCTGTGCTGAAAATTTTTTAAGAAGGTTACTTTTTTACTTATTTTTTTATTTATCGAATTTGTAGGTCAATTTCAAATTTTTAGAGTAACAATTAATGTTTTAATATTATATCTCAGCAATTTAATTAGTATTGGAAAGTAATATATCATTATTCTATTGAAATTTAAAATTTTAAGATAAAACTGAAAGTAATGTTTAACAAATTAGTTATTTTTTTTAGGGAATACATTATGAGCAATTTTGAAAAAACCTAGTTTCATTGAACGGTCAATTTATTTTCTAGTATTTTAATTAAAAATCAATTAAATGTAAGTTATAATACCGTATGTATAAACAAGTCAGAAATATTAAATGATTTAATCAGCTAACTTGAACTTGTTTAGAAGAGATTTTAAAAAGTAATGTTAAATTAAAACTCAAAATTAGCCAAGAGAAAATTTTCTGATGTTAATTTTCATATGTAGAAAAATTACTTAAAATATTTTGGTTAATAATTTGTTGGTCAACGATTTGTATATAATCAAAAAATAGTATGTTAAGTTCATGTGGTATGTTAATTCGTAAATTCCGAAACGTTTGCCATATATAGCATGCATTTTAATGCATTTTTCTTTTAAAACTTAAATGGCAATTATAAAAATGTATGATATAATTAACCAAAATTACTAAAATATTAAAATAAACGCATAATGTAAATTACAATGTCTTTTTACTTAAATAATTACAAAGAAATTACAAAATTATGTTAAAGTAACTGTAAATTGTAATTGGACTAAATATGTAACTGTAATAAACATAAAGCTGGTTATGTGCGTTATATGAGCAAATGAATTATGTCAAAATAAAAATTCTGGTTTTACTACTATTATATAAAAAAAAAATTTTATAATTTTTGTACCTATTTAATGTACTTTGTTTCCATTCAAAATTTTTAATATCATATGCAAAAAAAATTCAAAAATTTTACAATTAAAAATATAACATGATCTCAAGGTGTTAACGGCACTATAATTTTTAAATACTTTTTGTTTTACTTATTAAATTTATTCCTATTTAATTACTTAAATAGGAAAAATTTAAAATAAGTAAATACAAGAGTGTGTATGACGATCATCACTTGTTTTAATTTTTAATTGAAGGTAAAACCTCCGATTTCAAATAAAATTTAATTATTTATTTTTTTTGAAAATCTAGTGCAATGATATATACATAAAACCGTAAGGCTAAATTGCAAGAGAATGAATATACTTAGTTATCATTTTATATAGCGAATTCATTTATGTATTAAAAGAAAATTTTCAATAATATTTTTCCCTACAATATTATTATTGTAACTTAAAATAATATTTCTTTTCTATTCTGTATAATATAAAGGTTTACATAACTCTTTATGAATAATAAAAAAATATTATTCTTTGATTTTTTTCTTTTATTTTTGTGAAAAACAATAAAATTTATTTTATTAATTTAGAGAAAAAAAAAATATGATTAAACTCAAATTTCTTCCGCTATACATTCTTCTTGTTCTTTTATTTTATATTACTTTCAAAATGGTCGATAAAAATATCGAAAAATTTTTTTTGGTCTAAAAAATTCGTAAATTGCTGGTTTTTCATCAGTTTAAATAATGTATACATAATATTTGAAATTTTAATGAATTTCCGTTTTAGTATTACATAAACGCTTTTATTATATCTTTTGAACAAGAACTTGAAAATTTAAATATTTCAAAGTTTGTTGAATATAAAGTGTTTAATTAACAAAACTGGTATATGAAAACCAAAGAAATCTTTCTAATTTAATAAACCATAAGAACTCTTCATACTTTTCTAATAATATTAAAAACTTGCTTTTCTTATTAATTATTCAATTTTATAAGAATAAAAAAAAACGAAAAAATAAAAAAATTATATTATATGAATATAGAAATAATTCTTTTGTAAAACGAAAGATTTTGTCAAAAATTTCAATAGATTTGCGTAAAATTCAAACTTTTTTCGATATAAAAATGTTTGAATAACAGGCCAATATAATGATGCGGTTCGTTCAGTTTTTTAATATTTAAGATTATTCTAATTTATGAATGACCGGCTCTGATTTTCTTTTAATAATTTTTGTTTATTTTAATATATATATAAAAATATATAAAATATTTTGCTATTTTGTTTCTATGCGAATTTTAATTCCTCATATATGAGCGAATACTCATTTTCGATTTGAATAAATTCATACTCGTATTATAATTTTATACTTCTTGTTCGCATGTATGTATGGGTGATTTTTTTAATATTTTCATTGTATATTTATGAAATTTAAAAAGTATTTTTTGGTTAAAATTTTTTGAAATTTATAAATTGAAAAAAATTAAATTTATATTTCAAAAAAATTCTTTCGCCATTTCATTATCAAAAATAAGTCCAGTTTTACTAAGGTAATTCTTAGGTTCAGAACTGTTATATCCTTTCCGACTGATTTATGTTTGTTTGATGTGTATAATGTACTTATACTAATTTTTGTTTGAATTACAATATAACGTAACACATACTCACATAAAAATTTATTTGCAAGAGTTTTTTACTTTTCCTTTATATTAAATAAAGTTTTGAATAGTTTTTTTTTATATTAAAATTCTTTAATTTGACTTCAAAAATTAAAGTCAAATCACTAGTCACAATATGCACATTTTATCCATTCAATTAAATAGTAATTATATTTAATGAATTCTTTTATTTTAATTTTATATTTTTTTTAATTAAAAAAATTTCTAAAATTAAAATATTAAAATATTTTTCAATTTATTTTACACAAATAAAATAACCACAAATAAAAATCCTTTTTTCTTTTTTTTTGGTAAAATTATAAATCCTTTAATTTTGTTTAATTTTCTTATCGAAATTTATTTTTCAATTAAAAACGATTTGATCCGTTACAGTCGAATGATAACCGATAACTCAATGATTCTTGTGATTAAAATTCGGTTTTAAATCTTTTACTTAGTCTAGTTCGATCTAATGTCCAGCAAAAAACTAAAAAAAAAAACAAATAACAAAAAAAAAATAAACGCAAACGTCAAACTTTTAATAAAAAAGAGAAGGAAAATAGGTTTCAAATAAGCTCTCTCTAATGTAATAAAAACAAAACAAAAAAAAATAAAATTGCAATTTTGTTTAGTATTCTTTAGTAAGAAAAGCAATAACAATAAAAAAGGGAACAACAATATTCCGCATTTTTTTTAACTCATATTTTTTTTTGGTTTTGCTCACCTTTTTCTTTATTTTTTTTTTCGTATGGTCGACGTTAAAGAGGAAAAAATCGTTTACACATAACTTTTTTATTTTACCATAGTGAGCTATCATCATTTATCACTTTATCTGTTACAATCTATGTACTAATGTATGTTATATATACAATATACAACTATCTATATCTACAGAGTCTGCAAATATATCAAAAAAAATTCATACTCTCTCACCTTATATCTTGAAGAAGAATTAAAACAAAAACAAATCTGCTACTAAGCAATTCAACATTGTGTTTATTGCTTGCGGTGATCTTTTATTAGTAAGTAACATAATAGTGATGCCGTTTTAGCTACTTTGTAGCAATATCTAGAGGAATTTTTAAAACTTCAGCTACAAAAATAAAAAAAGAAGTTCCTACAAAAAATCAAATAACTTTTAACAGATTTTTTATTCAATTAAATGACAATTTCAGATTTTTTATTGTTTTTTTTTACTGCCTTCCCATATGACATGACTTTTGAAGTGACCCTTTACAATTTACATAAAACAACAATATTAAAATGTAATAGTAATAAATAATAGTAGGAGACCGCATTAAATTTTAACTCAGTTATCTTAATAAAAATAATAAGTTTTGTCCCATGAGCATGTTTTTTTTTCACCAAGAATTATTATTTAATTTTTACATTATTATTTAGTTTTTCAAAATTCTTGATGATTGATCCATTTCATATATAATTACATGTCATTGATACTGAATTCTCATATTTTACCAATACAACTTTTTTTTTCATATTATTATATACATAGGTATATATACATGACCATAGGTGCAATGGTTATGGCACTGGTCCTTTAACCGAAGGGTCTCGGGTTCAAACCCCAGTCAGGTCACTATAAAAATTATATTCAATATTATATAATTTTAAACAAATAACAAAATTTGATTAGACATAATCTAACCACTTCTTTTTCTTTGACGGCAACACTAATAGAAATCAGGTACAAAGAAAATTCAAATTAGAAAATGAGAGAGAATTTTTAATTTAATTATAATATAGGTGTATGTAATATGTATATGTAGTATAGTATTTTATTGATTCATAGTTCATACTATGTTGTGCTGTGTTTGTTGTGTGGTTTGTTAGTGTTACCTGACACGTGTGTATGTAAAATCATAATTAATACAATAAAAACAAACACGAAAATATTATTTACAGATATTGTTACATTCGTTGATGTATCAAAATATTAAATATTTATCAAAATTTAATAGTAAAAAATAAAGCTTTGACCTCTATCTAATATGTGTGCATTTTTCATAAATTTGATTAAAATGAATGTACATAATGTATATATGTACATTCATACATAAATGTATAATACACCAAAAAACTTCCAGATGGAAAAGCAATATAATATGTATTATAATTATTATGATGATGTTAGCCATACCGTGAGAGTAAAATAATTTCAAAAAAAAAAAAATAACAAAAAAAAAACAAAAAGTAAAAATAAAATGAAACTAAGAAGTCAGGAATGTATGCAGTTTAATAATAATAGATTTTTTATAATTTTATTGTAACCTTCACGATATAGTTTTGTTAATACTTTTGAAACCTCAACCGAGTTATACATTTTTTTTTTGGAATTTTTAATAACTTTGTAACACATTTAATTCAATCATTCTATTGCACATATAATTCAAACATAATTATATACAAAATTAAATTTCTAGCATATTATACAAAAAAAAAAACTAATAGCAATCAATATTAATAGTATGCTTACCGAATTAATCATCGGAAAAAAAAAATTGCGTATTGAAAGATTGAGTTCATATCGTGATAAATCTACCATTTTTTATGAGACTGCTGCATACAGTATGATTGGTAAACTAATACCTTTTTTTCGAAAAATCAATTAGTTTACTTTCATTTGAACTTGACTTACAATTTTGTTAAGTGCAAAATTTTTATGTCAAAATAGTGGTAACAGAAATATGTTACATACACATATGTATTCATATATATAGGGGAAACTGTTATTAATATACATAATGCATAATAAGATTTAATGGAAATTAAATGAGTAAAAAATTATAATTGTAACTTGTTTTAATTTAATTAAATTATTTTTCGTTATAATAAAGGTAGGACTAATACCAATAGTATACGAATAGTACCCATATACTACATTTAAATTTTATTATTTTAAAGTATAAACATTTTCAAACAGGTTTAAGGAAAATAAAATTCACTTGTTGTTTAACCAGAGTCCTCATTTCAAAGTTAGTTTCAAAACACTAATCAAGATATGACATTATGTTTGTTATAGAAAAAACTTTATTTTTAGCACTTTTCCAAAAAAAATATCTTGGTAAAAAAGTACTTATTACGGTTTCACTCTGTCCGTTCATTCGTTTATGTCATTTATAATAAAAAAATATTATCTTTTAACTATTTATTGTAACGAAACCACAGTCATTTTTAAATTCGGCAAAGGCGGAAAAGAAGCAACATATACTTCTTCTACCGCGGCGCAGCACAATTAAATATTTAAAATTGAAAATGGTCGTTAAAGTTAACCCAAAAACCAAAATATTTTTTTCACTCGAATTTCGTAAAATTTGAATTGTCAATGCCTTTTTTTCTGAAACTGCAAGCTCTTCCAAATTTCTATGAGAAAAAGAAATTTCTATAAGAGAAGGTAATGGTAAATGTTATTTCATCAGAAGGTATAATTATTTAACTCAACTCACAAGCTCAACACTTAATCTGTTAATGCTTCTTTCAAGTTTTTTCTTTTCTCATCCTAAATGTATGCAATAAATTTATATATTTTGGGTATATGAATAAAAGTAGTTTAAACAGTCTGTTTTCAATAAATAGTTTATCGACATATCTTGTTCAAAGGAAAAGTGCTTTTTTACAAACAATTAATTTCATCCAACTATATTTAGAATATACTTAAGTATGCATATACCCTCTCAGTTTACTTTAATTGAATTTTAAGAGTTCTTTAAAAAATACTTACCAATTCTCAAGAACTGAAAAACATACACACATACACACAAACTTTTTAATTAATTTTTTTTTAAATTTTTATCAAATTATGCGTCATTGCATAATCTGAAATAAAAACAATTACATATATGTATGTGTATACATGCTTAATATATTGTGAAGTACAATACTTTTGCAAATATAAGAATATTGTATTGCAAAATATTGTTATTGTATTATTTGCAGATAAAATCGATTTTTACATGTTTGTTGTATTATTCTATAACGAACCAAATTCTATAACGAAAAATTTTCAATATAAAAATAAAAAGAAAAAACGAAAAAGCTTAATACAGGACAAATAACCTTGTAGATTGGGTGACGGTGCACCTCTACCTTCCGTAAGAGGAACGTCCCGCCTAAGTATTAGTAATAACATCTATGCATATTCCCCTGAATATCTTCCATATGTGAAGAGACTTCCTGTTTTAGTTGATTAAAGTTGCACACATAAACAGAAAGTACATCGCTATCTTCTTCTGAGGTACTCTCACCTAGTTCCTGCTCATCCCTGTTTTTTTCGTTAATGCTTGTGGTTATGGTCTCCCAGAACCTTCTAGGTATACCAAAACCATTTCTCTCAATTTCTTTGATGAACTGGAAAAGGGCTCACTTTCAAAAGACCCAAATCGAATAATTTCCAAATCATTCATTTAAATGAATTTTATTGTATTATTTTATTTAAATAAAAAATAATATAATATTGCTTTGATTGTTAACATTTTACTTACTTTGAAAATTTTAGCCGAATAAGATCAAAAGTGTCATGAATTTTATATAATATCAAGATTCTGAAATGTATTAACGGAGGTGTATACATATTATTATCTTTTATATTGACGTAATATATAAACGTAATTGTATAGTTCTAATGACTATTATAACATTTTGGGTGATTGCAGATTAACTGAAATTTATTATCGAACAACATGTACACACAATTAAAATTATCTATTGCATAATATATATTCATGACAACTAGATACTTATTCTCTCGAATTTTGTATTTGATTTTGAAAATATATGCTTGTCACGTATTCTAATTTCTATTTATTTAAAGAGCATTAAGACATAAAAATAATTCGTACAACAACAAAATATGTTTATGTAATTTTAAAAGAAGAAGTGTTTGTATAAAAAAAAATTTTTGTATTCTTCAAATTGTTTTATGTTAGAATAATTTTAAAATACTATAAAAATCTGTAGAATAACATAAAATTCCTAAATGAGCAACTAATGATAATTTACTTTAAATTGAGAATTGTACATATATATGTATGTAAAATGTATGTAATTAACGTGTATAATTTGAAAAAAATTACTTGTCATAATAAAATTGAAAGGTTATAATATATAAACAATTATTTATGACATTTTATGTCACAAATTAGAACTAGGGGTAATGATCCTATTTTAACTTGTGG